CCCTGGGAGCCTTTCCCCTAAGATCAGGAACAAGACAGGGATGTCCACTCTCACCACTGCTATTCAACATAGTACTGGAAGTCCTAGCCTCAGCAATCAGACAACAAAAAGACATTAAAGGCATTCAAGGTGGCAAAGAAGAAGTCAAACTCTCCCTCTTCGCAGATGACATGATACTCTACATAGAAAACGTAAAAAGTCTCCACCAAAAGTCTCCACCCCAAGATTGCTAGAACTCATACAGCAATTTGGTAGCATGGCAGGATACAAAATCAATGCCCAGAAATCAGTGGCATTTCTATACACTAACAATGAGACTGAAGAAGAGAAATTAAGGAGTCAATCCCATTTATATTTGCATCCAAAAGCATAAGATACCTAGGAATAAACCTAACCAAAGAGGTAAAGGATCTATACCCTAAAAACTATAGAACACTTCTGAAAGAAATTGAGGAAGACACAAAGAGATGGAAAAATATTCCATGCTCATGGATTGGCAGAATTAATATTGTGAAAATGTCAATGTTACCCAGGGCAATTTACACGTTTAATGCAATCCCTATCAGAATACCATGGACTTTCTTCAGAGAGTTAGAACAAATTATTTTAAGATTTGTGTGGAATCAGAAAAGACCCCAAATAGCCAGGGAAATTTTAAAAAGAAAACCATATCTGGGGGCATCACAATGCCAGATTTCAGGTTGTACTACAAAGCTGTGGTCATCAAGACAGTGTGGTACTGACACAAAAACAGACACATACATCAATGGAACAGAATAGAGAACCCAGAAGTGGACCCTCAACTCTATGGTCAACTCTATGGTCAATAGTATTCGATAAAGGAGGAAAGACTATCCATTGGAAGAAAGACAGTGTCTTCAATAAATGGTGCTGGGAAAATTGGACATCCACATGCAGAAGAATGAAACTAGACCACTCTCTTTCACCATACACAAAGATAAACTCAAAATGGATGAAAGATCTAAATGTGAGACAAGATTCCATCAAAATCCTAGAGGAGAACACAGACACACCCTTTTGGAACTCGGCCACAGTAACTTCTTGCAAGATACATCGAAGGCAAAAGAAACAAAAGCAAAAATGAACTATTGGGACTTCATCAAGATAAGAAGCTTCTGCACAGCAAAGGATACAGTCAACAAAACTAAAAGACAACCTACAGAATGGGAGAAGATATTTGCAAATGACGTATCAGATAAAGGGCTAGTTTCCAAGATCTATAAAGAACTTATTAAACTCAACACCAAAGAAACAAACAATCCAATCAAGAAATGGGCAAAAGACATGAAGAGAAATCTCACAGAGGAAGACATAGACATGGCCAACATGGACATGAGAAAATGCTCTGCATCACTTGCCATCAGGGAAATACAAATCAAAACCAGAATGAGATACCACCTCACACCAGTGAGAATGGGGAAAATTAAGAAGGCAGGAAACCACAAATGTTGGAGAGGATGTGGAGAAAAGGGAACCCTCTTACACTGTTGGTGGGAATGTGAACTGGTGCAGCCACTCTGGAAAACTGTGTGGAGGTTCCTCAAAGAGTTAAAAATGGACCTGCCCTACGACCCAGCAATTGCACTGTTGGGGATTTACCCCAAAGCTACAGATGCAATGAAACCCCGGGACACCTGCACCGCAATGTTTATAGCAGCAATGGCCACAATAGCCAAACTGTGGAAGGAGCCTTGGTGTCCATCAAAAGATGAGTGGATAAAGAAGATGTGGCTTATGTATACAATGGAATATTACTCAGCCATTAGAAACGACAAATACCCAGCCTTTGCTTCAACGTGGATGGACCTGGAGGGTATTATGCTGAGTGAAATAAGTCAATCGGAGAAGGACAAACATGATATGGTCTCATTCATTTGGGGAATATAAATAATAGTGAAAGGGAATATAAGGGAAGGGAGAAGAAATGTGTGGGAAATATCAGAAAGGGAGACAGAACATAAAGACTCCTAACTCTGGGAAACGAACTAGGGGTGGTAGAAGGGGAGGAGGGCGGGCGGTGGGAGTGAATGGGTGACGGGCACTGGGGGTTATTGTGTATGTTGGTAAATTGAACACCAATAAAAAATAAATAAAAATAAATAAATAAATACCCCATCTTCCTCTCCCCTTCAGCAAAATAATTCTATAGTGTGTGTTTTACCCTGGTCTCTAGAATCCTCCAGCTGGGTCAGCTCCCATTACCCACAGTGCTAATTTCCCTGATAATAAACCATTTTTTGGCTTTCTTTCCTTTCTGTCTCACCACCTGCTCTGCTATCATTCTTTCCTGGTTCACCTTCTGCATAAACTACTTGGACTCAAATCCTTTTCTCAGGGTCCACTTCCTAGGAAACCAAAGTAACACTTGTAGTGTGCCAGGGAGTTTGAATAAAGCAAATAGAAGACTCCTGCCTGTGCTACCCTACTTGCCTCCCAGAACACTTACAGTTTGGTCTGAAAGGATTTTCTCTTTAGAGAATTTGACCAGCTGGAAAGAAAGAACTATGGATATTGATGCCATGTGTTCCCACTGGAGGCAGACTGCCCTACAGTGAAGCCATCAGGAAACAAGTTCGACCCACATGCTGGAAACTTCCAATCAGCTTTTAAAAAAAAATATTTTATTTGCTTATTCATGAGAGACACAGAGACAGGGAGAGACAGGAGAAGCAGGCTCCATGCAAGGAGCCCAAAATGGGACTCGATCCCCAGACCCTGGGATCACGCCCTGAGCTGAAAGCAGACGCTCAACCACTGAGCCACCCAGGCATCCCTCCAATCAGCTTTTATAGCACTGAACTCCAGTTTTTTTAGTTATGTACTTTTTTTTTTTTTTTAGATTTTATTCAATCATCACACACATACACACAGAGGCAGAGATGCAGGCAGAGGGAGAAGCAGGCTCTATGCAGGGAGCCTGATGCAGGACTGAATCCCAGGACCCCAGGATCACTCCCTGAGCTGGAGGCAGGCACCAAACCACTGAGCCACCCGGGTGTCCCGTACTCTTTTTTTCTAAAGATTTTATTTTTATTATCTATTGGAGAGACAGAGACAGAGAGAAATAAAGCATGCACACAAGTGGGGGGAGGAGCAGAGGGAGAGGGAAAGCAGTTTTCCTGCTGAGCATGGGGCTCAATCACAGGACCCTGAGATCATGACCTGAACTGAAGGCAGATGCTTAACCAACTGAGCTACCCAGGTGCCCCTAGTTATATACTCTTAAGTATGAGGGAATAGTTGAGGACCACCAGAAAACTTCCAATATGATAGATGGAGACCAAATTAATAGCAAAAAGCAGCTGAGAGGAAGAAAAGACTATTCAGGAAGAAGAAAACTTCAGAAATATATTGGTTTTTGTTTTGTTTTTAAAGAGGAAGAGAGGGGCAGAGAGGGAATCTTATGCAGGCTCCATGCTCAGCACACAGCCTAACACAGGGCTCGATCTCATGACCCTGAGATCATGACCTGAGCTGAAATCAAGAGTCGGTCGCTTAACTGAGTCACCCAGGTGCCTCTAAAAATGTATTGTTAATATCTTCATAGGAACAAGAAATCTATGAAGCAAGGCTATGACACCACAATGAAGAAACATTTGAAAAACAAGAGAAAACTCCAGAAAAGTAAAAACAGAATATGGCTGGAAGATAGATTTGAAGAGTTCTCCAATAAGGTGCAAAAAGATGGAAAACAGATGAAAAACAGGAGAGTAAAATAGATGCTAACAGGATTCTTATACCGAGTTTGGGTTTGAGCATACATCAGAAGCTGATGTAGGGGAGTTAGCCGAAGGTATATAATAGGAACCTGCTCACATCTGAACAAAAGAAAATAAAACTTGGGCAGCTGTACAGGCCGAGAATGGAGGCAGAGGTACTGGTTATGCAGTTCTTGCACTAATGAGGAGAAATGAGAACCTGTTGTAATGACAAAGGACATTTATTAAGAAAAAGACGAAAGATTAAATGGTAGAATGAATTAAAGTCGTGACTAAGCAGGTGTACGTGTGGGTTGCTGTGGAGCTGATATAAAAGGAGGTTAAAGACCAAACAGGGGGCACCTGGGTGGCTCAGAGGTTGAGCTGTGCTTCCAGCTTAGGTCACGACCGAGGGGTTCTGGGATCAAGTTCCGCATCAGCCCCCCAGCAAGGAGTCCGCTTCTCCCTTTGGCTATGTCTCTCATGAATAAATAAATGAAATCTAAATAAATAGATAAAAAACTGACTAGACCTAGCTTTTTCTTCAAGATCCTAAATGGACTGGGCTCCGTTAAGCAACATGAGGAATCACCGAGGACCAGCAGGTTGGAGTGGCGTGAGGAGACGCCGATTCCCGAGTTCAGGTTCAATGGGTATTTCCTCAGATCTCGCGAGGTGTCAGACACTGGGATAAAGTTTCGTCTGGGTCGCCTGAGGAGACGCAGAGGTAAGTCACCAGAGAAGAAGATAACCCCCTTCAGGTGTTTGTAGTCAAAGGAGGTACAGCCCTTGGCGTGGCCTGAAAGGAATGGGGCGACGACGGATACCTGTGCGGGATACTCGGCGACAGTAATTGTGCACGCGCGCCTGCGCAGGAGCGTCCTGGGGGTTGGCCCTGGAGAACCGCCAGGGCCTGCCTAGTCACCGACGGGCGGCTCAGACCCAGGCGAACGCTAGCATCGTGCGCGAGGAGCCTCGGAGTCCACCGGGAAGACCCGAGCCTCCCGGACTTCCCGGTAGCGCAAAGGCGGCTCAGTGCGCGTGCGCGGGGCCACCCGGGCTCCGAGGCGGCGGGAAGCTGGTTTTCTGAGCAGCAACCGAGCTGCTTGAAGACGGATTGGAGACGACAGACCAATAAACAGACATTTCATTGGCTTAGCGTGCTCGGGCTCCGGCTCTCCAGCTACCTATTGGACCTTTCAAGCAGAGCGGGGGCGTGACTCCCGGGGCTCCGCCCCGCGCTCTGGCCCCGCCTCCGGGTCCGGCTGAGGTCGCCGGACGGAAGCGAGCGGGTCCCGCCTCTTCCCTCCGCTCGTCGTCGCCGGAGACGCCGCCGCCGCCGCCGCCGCCGCCGCCCGCTCTCGGGAGAGCCGGAGTCTCCGTGCCGCACCCTCGGTCCCGGCCGCGCGGAGCCGGGATGCCCTGCTCCTGCTGTGGGTCCTCATCATGGAGACCAAACGGGTGGAGATTCCCGGCAGCGTCCTGGACGATCTCTGCAGGTACCGCGTCGCCGCGGGCTGCCCGGGCCTCGCCGTCCCCTCCTCGTTTTCCCCCACGTTGGCCGACCGCGGGGGCCTCTGCGTCTCCGCACCCTGCGCACAGCCTTGTCCTGGCTCTCTGGTCCCGCGGCTGCACGCTTTCCCCGCTCGCCCCGGTGTCGGGCTGCAGCGCCCCTGTCCTTCCGCCGCAGCCCCCCGGGGTCCTCACTCGCAGGGCACCGGGATTTCCTCATTTTCTCAGTTCCCCAACTCTGGCTTTCCTGCAAGTGCAGCCGCTGCACCCGAGCCAGGCTCTGGAGCGTTTCTCGTCTGCTCCCTCTCCCTCCCATTGTTTTTTTCTGCCTCTGACTTTTATAGACCGTCTTCCCCTTCTCCCTCTGTCTCATCCCTCAGTTTTGTCCAAAGACCTCAGGGTTTTAAGTCTTATTCCTACGCTCCCGGACCTACGCAGGGAGCAGATTCAAACTTACCTTTTCGCCCATGTGTTCTTAGGTCCGTGGCATTTCCTGAATTGTTAGAAATTATTGTCTTGAACCTGAGAGACTCCTAACTCTGGGAAACGAACTAGGGGTGGGGGAAGGGGGGGAGGGGGGTGGGGGTGACTGGGGGACGGGATGAGCCCTGGGGGTTATGCTAGATGTTGGCAAATTGAACACCAATAAAAAATAAATTTATAATAAAAATAATAAAAAAAGAAATTATTGTCTTGTTCATTCCCAGACTTATCACTGGGAGGGAGGAAAATCGAGTTTTCTTTTCATCCTTTAATTTTTCTTAAAGGAAATTCTCAGTCGTCAGGGTTTTAACTCATGATACACTAATACAAGAGGAGTTTTTTGCATTCTTCCCTCTTGTGAGCGATGATTTCAGATAGCCAAACTTAGGAGAAATGCACTTAAAATATTTTTTTTTCCCGAAGTAAAATTTTTGGTGCCGTAATACCCTGCGTTGTTGCTGGCTAAGTGCATTGTGAAATAAATTACAATTGAGTAAAAAGCTCTGGTAAAATAACATCTTTTCAAGTACATTTGCAGTATTTATGTGTAGACGTCTTTTAATTGTTGTTTTGCATTCACGCCTTCGTTTTTTCCTTTTTGATGAGAAGGAAAGAACTAATATTGTGGAGGTATTGTTATATGCCAGGCATTGGATACTCCCTTCACACATACCGTTTTATTTAATCCTCTGAACACCTCTTTTTGGTAGGTGCAGTTATTTTCATTTTCGTCTGATAAACAGACTCATTTTGTAATTTACTCAAGGTCATATTTTTGGTAATTTAGAAACTCAAGATTTGAAACCTAGGCCTTTTTCTCTCAGTGCCTGTGCTTTTTCTCTCCTACCCCAGGTAGATGGTACTGAAAGTCAAGTCTAACATTTTAAACCTTACAAAAGTACATGTAGATGTACATGTAGATAAGTAAATAGACTAATTTTTAGAACTAATAAGAATGTTGCTGTGCTTTGGTGATGGCATGATTATGATTTTTGGGATTTGATCAATTCAACCTTTTTTTTTAAAAAAATATTTTATTCATTCATGAGCGAGAGAGAGAGAGGCAGAGACCCAGGCAGAGGGAGAAGCAGGCTCCATGCAGGGAGCCGGATGTGGGACTTGATTCCAGGTCTCCAGGATCATGCCCTGAGCCAAAGACAGACCCTGAACCACTGAGCCACCCAGGTGTCTCAATTCAGCCATTTAAAATGCACTTATTTTTCTAGATCCCAAATTTCATAAGAAGAGATTTGATGTATGTATATCTGTGTGGATAAATGACTGGACAAATATGTACGAGAAGTGGGGTTACAATTTTTATTTTTTTATTTTTCAAGATTTCCAAGATTTTTTAAAGGGGTGTGTATTTTATAGTTAGGAAAAAAGTAAAGATGACTGTGTTTGAAAAGGTCATAGTATGTATGGATTAATACGGATACAGATTAAACAAAAAGATAGGTAATCTTATACTTTTACAGGGATCTAAAATAATCCTCCTACTAGTGTGGGTTTATTTTGTATACTATGCAGGATTACATCTTTTAAAGAAGTCCTAGCAACCATTATGAAGGTGATTGATTTTATGTAGAACCTGTTTACTCACAAAATAATTGTGTTATGTAAACAATACGTTAAACATCTGTTGAGTGTTAATGATTCTTACTTGGTTTTCCATTTTCCAGTGAGTGTATTTAAGCAATTTTATACAAATCTTTTGGAATAGGGTAACATTTTTTTCCTTTAAGAAAGGAGAGTAACATTTTTGCAATTACTGTGTTTGACTATATGGATTATATATGGACTATATTGGATTTATTGGATTATATGTATTATATGTTTAAAAATCAGGGCTAGCTATTCAACTAATAAACCAAAGAACCATTTCTTAAAACTTCAAGTTTTAAAAATAATGCTATTTAAAAGTTTGTGTTATAATATTTTGTTGATTAAAGATTTTTAATGTAAACAATTCAGGCTTTTTTGATTGTGGGTTTTTTAGAAATAAATTTACTTACAATTTATGTTTAATTTCTATAAAAATGAAGCTTAAGTGGAAAAAGGTTAATTTTTCTGCACTCTTGTTAAGTACCTCTTGATTTATGAGTTTGGTCTTGACTCTTGTCTTTATATTTTCACCAATTCTGTTTATTATTAGCATATTAAAGAGGTTTTTTGTTTTTAATAATTTTTGATAAATTACATATTCTTGCTAATCTTGTCTACTTCATTGATCATATGGTAATTTTTGGAGAAATGTACAATTGACAATGATTTTGATGTGAAGAATTAGAGTGGGAGACCATGTTTTTAAGATGTGACTTTGTAACCATTAGACTGCTTATAACCTAAGAGGTGGAATGTTATTTTCAGATGGTTTCATATGTAACATTTCGTTTACTTGGATACCCTGCAGCCATTAGAAATTCCTAAGGCAGTTAGCAAACAGTAAACTAGGGAAGATATTTTTGTCTTGAAATGTGTACAGTATACTATTATTGAGCATAGTAATCATTTGATGCCTTTTTTTTTTAAAGATCTTATTTATTTATTCACGAGAGACACACACACAGGCAGAGGGAGAAGTCCAGAACCAGATTCGGTTCTACGTCCCCCAAGATCACGCCCAGGGCTGAAGGCGGTGCTAAAATGCTGCCCTGATGCCTTTGGTTAGAACAAGCTTTTAAATGTTTGTGTGTTTGTGTATGTACAAGGAGAGTGAGAGAATATAGATCAAACTGAAAAACACTAGTTATATCTGGATAGAATAAATTAGAGGAGAGGAAGGAAAGACTGTTGTCTATACTGTTCTAGTGAACATTCTAGTAAACTTGTGTGTAAAATGTAAATCTCCATTTTATGGTGATATTTGCCTCTGTTGCACCATGATTTTTGACTTTAAGAGTGAAAGATTTTTTCATTATTTAAATTAGCCTATTAAATACTTGAAAAGCATATTTTTAAAGTTAAAATTGATAACTACAACTTAAAGTGGTTTCTTTTATTTATATTTTTATCTTTTTGAAGATTTTATTTATTCATGAGACACACACAGAAAGAGGCAGAGACACAGGCAGAGGGAGAAGCAGGCCCCATGCAGGGTGCCTGACGTGGGACTCGATCCCAGGTCTCCAGGATCATACCCCCGGCCAAAGGCAGCGCTAAACCGCTGAGCCACCGGTGCTGCCCAGTTGTTTCTCTTTTAAAGACGTGCTTGGAGTTCTTTAAAAACCCCTTTAAGAATTAAATGGTGAGGGCAGCCCGGGTAGCTCAACGGTTTAGCGCCACCCTCAGCCCAGGGCGCGATCCTGGAGACCCGGGATCGAGTCCGACTTTGGGCTCCCTGCATGGAGCCTGCTTCTCCCTCTGCCTGTGTCTGTGCCTCTCTCTTTCTCTCTCTGTCTCTCATGAGTAAATAAATTCTTAAAAAAAAAATTAAATGGTGAGTCCACTCTAGTGTTAAAAGGAGAAAGGTATTTACTGGCAAGTAATGTTGCTGCTGTATTGGTGATTGTGTAAGTAATCAAATAATTTGTGCCCATCTTCAGGTTGCCATTTTAGTGTTCAATTCAGGAGCATTTTTGTACTAATAGTTCTGATGTTTTTATCTGTAGGAAAATTGAAACAGGGATCCCTGGGTGGCGCAGCGGTTTGGCGCCTGCCTTTGGCCCGGGGCGCGATTCTGGAGACCCGGGATCGAATCCCACATCAGGCTCCCGGTGCATGGAGCCTGCTTCTCCCTCTGCCTGTGTCTCTGCCTCTCTCTCTCTCTCTCTCTCTCTCTCTCTGTGACTATAATAAATAAATAAAAAAAAAATTAAAAAAAAAAAAAGAAAAAAAAAAAAAGAAAATTGAAACAATGACATTTTGTGGAGAAATTTTTCCCATAACAGTGAAAAGCATATATGTATATACATATTTTTATTTTTTAAGATTTTATTTATTAGCGAGGGCACATGTGCATGAGTGGGGTGAAGGGGCAGAGGGAGAAGTGAGTAGACTCTTCATTGACCAGGGAGCGCGATTTGGGGCGCAATGTGGGACTTTATCCTGGGACTCCAGGGTAATGACTGAGCTGAAGGCAGACCTAACTGAGCCACCCAGGTGCCCCTATTTTAATTTTTTTATTTTTAGTAATCTCTACACCCAATGTGGGGCTTGAACTCATGACCCTGAGATAGAGTCACATGCTCCTCCAACAGAGCCAGCCAGACATCCTGGCACACACTTTTAAATCTTTAAAACAGAACAAAAATATTCACAGAATGAAAGCATCAAAGTGTAATTTTCATGTGTTAAAATAGAATTTTGATTTTCTTTGTTCCTTTTTTTTTTTTTTTAGAGAAAAAAATGCATGGGTGTGTGTGCTCACAGTGGAATGATGTAGGGTGGGGACAGAGGGAGAGGAAGAGAGAGAATCTTAAGCTCATGACCCTGAGATCATGATCTGAGCTGAAATCCAGAGTCTGTCACTTAAATGAGCCACCCAGGAAGCCTCTTTTTTCTT